GTAGAACGCGCATGGAGATGGATAGGGAAGTGTCGCACCGACACCAACAAGCAGGAAAGAAAGAAAGACGAGAAATATCGATTAATTAATTCTGCCGCATGAGTTGACTCCTTCCTTCTTTCTCTGTAACTCTGCTCAGCTAGTCTCTAGGGCCGCCCCCCGGACTGTCTGGAGCCTCGGCCGCCCCCGGCCGCCCCCCGGCCCCAGACCGACCCCCGGACGGCACGGCGGGCCACCGCTTGCATACCAAATCAGCCTCGGGCTCGTCCAGATGCTGCATCTCGTATCCCCAGCATTGACAGCCCTATGCAGCAAGCGTGCACTACAAAAAATGTAATAATGAAAAATTGAAGACCTCTACAATGCTAAGGCAGCAGAACAAGAACAGTAACTCCCAACGCAAAACTCATGGGTTTACTGTAAGTAGGGGTTCAAATCAGAACATTTTCCTTAAATATTCTGTGATTTTCTTGAAATGAGAACCAACTACATTGAGTTCAGTGCAGTGCGCCACTAGTTTAAAAGCGACCTCTTGTTTCCAATCAGCAAAGAGACTCTCTCCCACGGGAACTGGGACGAGGACCCGGGCTGCAACCAGAGTGCGCGGGGTAAGCAGCTTACCGGAAGTAGCGCGGGGCTTCTCCGGTAGGTCGGCGGCGCACCGGATGTACCCCCAAAGCGCCCCCCGCTGCTCGCGTTTCTCGCCGCCAAAGACAAACAAAACCTCCCCGGACGGTTTATATGAAGCCTAATTAAAGGCGTGACAATCGCTTAGCTTAGCCTCCACCTCAGCAGCGTGTCTGAGAGAGACAAAAAGATGACTGTTAAGTGCCAACCCAAAGCCTCCCTATGCCGCTGGCTGAGCTCACTGGTAAACAGTGGAAAGGGCGTAAGTCCAATGGGAAGTCCGAAGACTTACGCCCTTTCCACTTTTCACCAGTGAGATCTCGAGATGTTGGCATGCGCCATCAAGCCAGGCCCAGCAAGCGGCGCCAGCAATTACCCCGAGAGGTGCCGCTATCTGACCGCACCTCACTCAGGAATAAAAGTTGCCGTTAAAGTTTGGAGAGGATGCCGGTCGGGTTGGAGGATGGCACAGCCGGGCGGGCTGGCCACCACAGGCTCTCTCTGCTCCACCACAAGAGATCGGTACTCGGACCCGCGCGCTATTAAAAAACCTTAATCCCTCGACTCTCCAACGGCGGCGGGAGCAAAAACTTTACCAATCTTTTTTTACAAGTGTGCTGGCCGGGTTCAGTTAACGAAGGGGGTTGGTATGGGCAGAGCAAGCAAGAGAGCGCTGCTGCTGCTGCTGCTGCTGCTGCTGCTGGCTGCTAGGTGAAGCCGGCATCGCCACTCTCTCGCTCCACACTTTTTTTTTATCTTTGCTTTTTTAACTGTCGTCCTCCTTTTTCCAAACAACGATTTCGCTC